AGGCCCCCGCCGGCCTCGCCCGAGGGAGAGGAAAGTTTCTGCTCCGCCGGGTTGCGCGGGGCTGTGCGGACTGGGCCTCGGGTTTGGGGGGATGCGGGCGGCTCACTTTTCCGCTGCGGTCTCTGACGCCGAGCCCGACGCGGGACACGGGTAGTTCTTTGGAGACCCGTGGGGAGGGGACGGCAGCGCGCGGGCCCGCCTCAGAAGCCCTGAGCTCCGGGGGAAGGACGCCTCGGACCCGGGGGCCGCGGTGCAGGCCCGCGGACTCATCCCCCTCCGCCCTCTGACCACAGACCCCATCACGACCCCGCAGGCCGTGTCCAAAGGCCCGAAACGCGCTTCGGATCTGCCCGCAGCGCCGGGCCCCGCGGCCGCTGAAAGGCCCCGAACTAGACCTTGGGGGAGGGGGCAGGGCGAGGGGGCGCGAAATTCACAGTGAAAAGACCGCGTTTCCAGCGCTGCCTAGAAAACACCTCCCCGGGCGAGCCCCGCTGGGCGCGGAGTAAGAAGCCGTTTGCCGACGTCTCTACGCGCCCCGGGAGCTCTCGCGCGCCCTGTGCAGAGGTACGGACACCGGCCGGCGGCCAAGCCACCGGAGCCACCGGCCGCACAGGGGTCCCTGCCGCCTTTGTGCGTGGCGCCACCTCCCTCGGGCCACACGGATTTCCAGGGGTCCCCCAACGCCGCAGACACGATCTCCCCACGTCCTCCACCCTCGCCCCACAGTGAAGCCGTCGTCCCGGCCCTTCCCGGGGCAGACCCCAGCTTTCCCCCCTCCGCCCGCCGCAGGGCCCCAAGAGGGCAGAGAAAGGGCGGCAAGTTGTCCTACATTCGAAACATCTAGAACCCGATGGGAACGCCCCGCATGGGGACGGGGCTTCTCCGCGCACACGTGTTTCTCCTCTGGGTTGGGTCCTTTCTGTGGCTGGAGCGAGAAAAACCGGGGAGGGGGCGAGAAAAAGGGTCCACGACAGCCCCGCGGACGAATAATTTGAATAATTGCCGGAAAGGGTCGGGGAAAACTTTAAAAAAAACCTCGCGTCGCAAACCACGGGCAGCGGCGGCCGGGCCCCGGCCCCCTCCCCGCAGCCCGTCCCCCCTTCAGCTAATCACCCTCATTAGGAGCCTCATCACCGGCCTAATGAAAGCAAACCGCGTGGAAATCGCCGGTAAACAGTTGGGTCTGTGCTGTAATTAATTCAGTGTCTCTTTTAATCAAACTGAAAGGGAATCGGGCCGCGGCTTGCGGAGCTGTGACATCACCCCCAAAATCGGCCAGAGCCAATCAGCGTCATCACTCCGGGGACACGTGGGCGAGTCCCCTTTAAAAAAACACGCACACAACATAACGAGAAAAAAAAAAA